CCTAAATTCCGCTATTACCACTGCTTCTACCTCCACCAAACTTGCACTCCATGTACTCTGTCTTGCTCCGACTTAGTTTGAAACCCTTATTTTCTAATGTTTGTCGCCATACTTCCAACTTTGTTTTAAGATCTGATTGTGTCTCATCAATCAATACGATATCTTTGGCAAACATCATGCACCACGGTATATCATCTTGAATTGACTTCGTAAGTTCATCCATGACTATGGCAAATAAGAAAGGGCTCAGAGCCGATCCTTAGTGCACTCCGATAGTTACAGGGAACTCTTCAGTCCTCCCTACACTAGTACGGACACTTGTAGTACAATCTTCATACATATCCATGATGATGCTGATATACTTGCTTGATATTTATTTCATCATATTAATAAAAATTCATCTCCACTAACTAACACTACAAAATAATCATAACAATAATGATAACAATAATTATAATACCAGTTAACAATGTGAACTAGAATTTTAAGTATAATCAAATCTTATTATTACTCCTAGAAAATGAATAATTAAATTAATTAAAAGTTGGGAATACTTACCAAATTGAGCAAATCACTGTTATTCAAGGTAAACTAAAAGAGATGCGCGCTGGCGTTGCCTTCAACTTGACGACATTGCCAACTCGCCGTTACTTGTCACTACCAATGATCGAGTCTTCTGTCTCCGCCTGCTCGTGCTGTTGCACCGTTGTATAGCTTTACGGTTGGTTCCAGCCAACTTCGAAAGTTGCGAGCTAGAAATTGATATGTAATTAAAAAAAAATAAGAATTCACGATAGTTGTCAACCTAATAGCCACTGCGTGTCTCAGTTAGTATTTAAAATAATTGTTTAATATACACTTCGAATCTTATACAATAACTGGTGCATTTATTTCAAAAAAAATTGAAGAAAAAAATAACGCACCAGTTATTATTAAGGAACCACTAAGCATGCATATGCCGTACTTTTTTTAATACAATTTTGAAATTATCGCTTTTGTTTTTTAAAAAAGAAAATTATCACTTTTGTATAGTAGTAGCACAAATTAATTTTTTCCCACTACTGCAATTTTTTTATCAAAACTTTGAAATTCAAAAGTAAAATTTTGAATGAGAAAATTGAAATTCTAAACTTAAACTTCATCGTAGCTATAATCTATATATAATACCCCCCAGTCCCCAATCATCATAGCTATAAATTAAAGTTTACATATTCTTTTTACAATTCTGCAGATTCGGCTAGAATTTCATCAATTTAGCAGATACAAAATTTTAGACAAAAATAACGAAGTGTTTTTTATGTATTTTTTTTGTACAAACTAGTAAACTTTTTGGTCCAGTCGAATATAAAGATCTTTTTTTTGGGAAAAAGATAAGTAATTAATATTAATCAAATCATTGTCAATTACAGAAGAAATAAACAATGGGGGAATAGTAAACCAAGATTGAGAATCAGACAAAGAACATACTGCCTTAGCAATAACATGAGCCACATTGTTCGCTGACCGTGTAACGTGAGAAAAAGAGATGCTAGAAAAATTCTTTGCAAGATTTCTAATGTCATCTGCCACCGGCCCATAGTAAGAGCTGCTTGAACCCTTCAAAATTTCCGAGATAGCACGGGAAGCATCAGATTCGACTTATACTCTGTACAATTTATTTATACCGTATAACATTACCAAACTAGTAAAATTTTGGAATAAAATTAAAAAAAGAGCCTGGCTATTTTTTGTAAACAGGGTAAAAGTAGCAGCGTTTAGTTGCAACTTGCAACATATACCCAGTCCGTATTATCGAACTTGCCAGGTTGGCAATCCGGCAAGCGCAAATTATACCGTATGACCGGTATACGGTGAGCACCGTATACCGGTATACGATTTTTTTTCCTTTTATTTTTAAAAAATGCTAATAACTTTTTTAATTTTGATCCGATTTTTATAAAATTTATATCAACATTTTTTATTTTTCATGATCTTTCAAATGAGACCAATATTGCTTATGTAATTTTAAGAAATTATCGAACTATTATATTAATGAGTATTGGAATATAAGGAAAATCGAACTAAATATAATACAGAAAAATAATTGTGTAAATCACAATTTCTTAAAATTGTGTATATAAAAAATTTATTTTATTATGTATTTATACATGTGAGTTACATATTTTTATACGTAAAGTTACATATTTGTACACGTAAAGTTACATTTATACACACGAGTTTCATTTGGCCTGTCTGAACGCGAGTTACATATTTTTACACGTGAAGTTATATATTTATACACGCGAGTTACATATTTTTACACGTAAAGTTACATATTTTTACACGTAAAGTTACATATTTATACACGCGAGTTACATATTTATACACACGAGTTGTATTTGACCTGTCTGAACGCGAGTTACATATTTTTAAACGTAAAGTTACATATTTATACACGTGAGTTACATATTTATCCACACAAGTTGTATTTGACCTGTCTGAACGCGAGTTAGTTACATATTTTTACACGTATAGTTACATATTTTTACACGTAGAGTTACATATTTATACACACGAGTTGCATTTGGCCTGACCGGACGTGAGTTACATATTTCTACATATAAAATTACATATTTTACATAGGCTAATATAATAGTTCGATAATATGTTAAAATTACATAGACAATATTGATCTCATTTGAAAGATCATGAAAAATAAAAAATGTTGATATAAATTTTATAAAAATCGGATCAAAAATAAAAATGTTATTACCTTTTTTTAAAAAAGAGAAAAAATAATACGGGGTGCATGGTGCACCGGTTGAGGTTATACGCACTCTCCCGCAAGTCTTCTCCCGCCATCTCCTGCCTTTGACCGTGACCTCACCAGTTCTTGCTTCTTCCTTCGTCTCAGAAACAAAACCCAGAGATCAAGAATGAGGAAAAATTTGACCGTTGTTAACGTATATGTAATCGAACTTGCCAGTTGGAATCCCGCTCCCACTATATAAACATTCGATCTTCAAATCCCCATTCCCCTTTCTTGATTTGTCGCAGAAACAAAACCTAGAAAGACAGAGTCTTGTTCCTGCGGTGCGGGTAAACCTTCTGATGTGGAGCTCGCCCTCGAACTATGGACTCCGGTATGTGTTCTAATTCGATAATCTTGAATACCCGTTTTTCTTTCTTGAATAACAATAACCTTGTTCCTTGATTCTTGATGCGGCGCTGCAAAGTTCTTTTAGGGATGGATGTTGAACGATGACTAAAGCTGAAAGCTCAGAATTGCTTGAGATTATCGAATCGAGCAAGCAATAATGTCGAGTATAAGGTTTTATAATACCCAGTTCTCATTTCTTGCTTCTTCCTTTGTCTCGGTCAGAAACAAACCCAGACTGCCAACATAGCTTTCTTGTTCCTGCGGGTAAACCCAAGTTCGTGATTCCGATGTGGAGCGAATAACAATATCCTATTTTCTTGATGTATGTTATTCTAATTCCATCTTGAATTCTTGATCGAATATATACCTTGTTCTAGCTAATTTGTATCTTTCTTGAATAACATTTACCTTCTTTCTTGTTTCTTGATGTAGCGCTGCAGAGTTAAGGATGGTGATCGAGTTGCTCCGTAGCTATCTTTCCTGAATACAATTCTTCTTAATGATCCCGCCATAGAGGCCATGGCAGAAATTCTTTCTTTGCAAACCTGGTAATTATTAAACGGATGACCAGTTTTTTATGGATTTCTTGACTACTATGCATCTGTTTATTATCGTGATACTTTCATTTATGAGTACCTATTCAGTGCATCTGTTTATTTTCAAATCATCACCCGGTCCTTTGTGAAGTCTGTACATGTCTATGTCTCTCCATAGAGATTCCAGGAAACCTGCATGTTACCAGTTCAATTCTTTATTATTGATGTTTTGATGAATGAGTAAATCATGAACTGAATCATTGTTGAAGCAGATTGATTACTCTGAAAATGACTAAAAATGTTTTGGAATCATATATACAGAGCTTTCAATATTTCATCCATCTTTTTTCCTTTTCCCAATCCTGTATCAGCAAAATAATTGGAATCATATATACTGTGCTTTCAATATTTTATGAACAGATGGAACAAATTCAATTATGATGGAACAAGTCCTGCATGATGGAATAAGGACCACTTAATTATTGTATTAATGATCCCAAAAATAATTGTTTTATTCTTGAAAAGCATTTCTTTTAAGTTAATACTACGTAATTATTAGTGTAGCACTCAATGCAATGGATTTTCGAGAGTAATTTTTTTTCATATTCATGTATATTTTATGGTGGGAATGAACGACATTGTAAAATTATGAATGCCAATTTATAGTGGAGTACCCACTATAAAAATACAGAATCTTTTGTAGCTAACATGGTTGATAAGAGTAGTTCCACATTGAATAATACAGTGAAACCTACAGGTTCATTAGATCTCAGGTTGAACTAGCCAATCTATTATAACTTTGTTTAGTGACTTAACCCAATTCTGAAGTGTCAATTGTATAATGGTGAATGCATGGTTCTTTTCAAGAGATGTGCTCTTTATCAAGCTAATTCTTTCTAGTGATGGAAATTGGAAACTTGAGATGTGTTAATTGAACCAAAATGTTTTCATATCACATTAAGCTATCCTTTATTGTTCTAGTGTTGCGTGAATTTGTTTTTCACTTTTTGCATAATTAGGGATTTCCAACCAGTGTCACTCCAGATTATGTCCCTTTTCAAGCCTGGGACTCCTTGCAGGTTCAAATTCTAAGTACCCATTTTGTTGTTTTCTCTACTATATACTACTTATAGAACTAAAATTTTCCACTAGCAGTAACCTCAAGCTTTTAATACAGGGCCTTTCAACTTATGTTCGTATAATGCTGTTGACACAGGTAAGATTTGAGTAGTAACCTCAAGCTTTTACCCATTATTGTAATATCAGAGGCAGATTTATGCAAAACTTTTACCAATGTAACCTTATGTTTTTCATTTGATAGAGTAGCGCAGTAATACAAGAGGAATGAACAGTAAAGCTAGCTTCAGAAAACAATTGAACACTTTATTGATGGAAGAGAAACAATTACAGAAAGATGAAAGAGATTATGGCCGAAGCCCCCAATGAGCCGAAGCCCCCCAAAAGAAAGAGAAAGTTCTCGATCTTCCCAAGTCCCAGATTCAAACGTCTAAACAGCCTACCTTCCCTTCTCAGCCTTACTTCTATTTATAGCAGTCCAGCTCCTGACATTATTTAATATCTATTACAGCATTTTAACTAATAGCTATTATTAGTCAAAAGGTGGGTCTCTATCAATACTTCCCCCCAAAACATCCACCTTGTCCTCAAGGTGGGTGATAGGAGAAAGCCAAGATCTTCTGCTTCTTCTTCTTCCTTGCACCTCTTCCTTCCCAGTATCTTTCAAATTTCAGGATCTTGAACTTCATGATTTGAATCTTCCTTCTCACTGCTTCTAGCAAAAACAACACTAGCTCCTCTCCCTTCCAAGCAATAATACTATTCCTGTGATTTTGTCAGGCTGGTACTGATCTTCACTCATCACCCTCTGCTCCATCTTCCATTTGCTAGCAGCTCTTGCTTCAGGGTACAACCCAAGTTCTCGGTTTTCAGTTGTTTCACTCATGTGACATGTCATGAGTGGTAGTTCTTCCAGAATAGAAACTCTTGATATACCTTGATCTTTGCCCATCATCGTATAGTAATATCTACCATCATGATCTGCATTCTTACTACTCCAACCACCTGAGTAATAAGAAACAACCTCTCCTTTACGAAAATAGGACCATGAACTACAACCAGAAGACAAAGTATTTGGATTCCCTTTCAAGTCAGCATAGGTAAAATTATCCACCAAGTCATCATCGGAAAGTGTTGTCAACGCCAGTGGTTCCGGGTAGATGATCAACAAATAGCAACTCGTGTTCTCAGTGCCAGATTTCCTTACCCGAATGGTTGACTGAACTTCAAGAAGAATCTCTTTTCCAACAGTCAGCATATTGAAAGAACCAGGAACTTTCCATTTTTGTTGTTGATGCTGTGTTAGATTCTGGTATTACAGACTCCAATTACAGTAGATTCAAAGAGAGATTAACAGAGAACAAGATCAAAATGAGATTTATTGAAGAAGAAGAAAACAGCGAACGTATACAAGCCTAGGACGATTCGAGATGCCCAGTCTCCAAAGTCTAAGTCCAACCAAATGACAGCCTTCCTATTTTCCTCCCCTCCTCTTCTATTTATACTATTACATGTACACTTACTATTATTATTATTATTATTATTATTTCTATTAATAGCCTACTAAGCTAGATTCCTATCATTACTCCCCCCCTAAACAACCACCTTGTCCTCAAGGTGGGTGATAGGAATCAGCCTTGACTATCAATTTTATCTTCATCCGAGCGCCTCTCCCTTCCCAGTACAACATTGCGTTCTGTATCTTTTAGCTTCAACACTCGAGCCATCCTCTTTACCTCCACCCTTGCATGAATGAGCCGAGGCAATGACACTGTTGGGTCCTGCTCCCCTGCTTTGTCACTCAGGAAGACATCCATAAACCTAATGATAAAAACAATCCCAACCTCCTGTTTGGATTGCCAACGAAGAGAGCTACAGGTACAGATTACTTGTTGAATAGCTTCACAATGACTATTCAGTACATCCCTCAATGTTCTGATATCTGTGATTCCCTTCACAGTTTCTTGTTTTAAAAATAGATCCACGAGGTACCCTATCTGGGAGACATCAATCACAACCGCTTGAATTGTAGGATCCAGTTCCACATTGATTCCACCCGAATGATATTCAAAATCACTCTCATCAGCCCCTCTCAGTCCATGATCTGAGGAGCCCCAGATGATAAGCTTGCCAATCCTGTTTTCTGATCGAACGCTTTCTTGCATAATTGAAACATCAGTTGAAGAGCATAATGACTGCTGCATTGACACTGTCAGTTGACCAATTTCATTATTAACCGAGTCCTTGGCATAAAATACCAAATTGCAACCTTTAACATCAATAACCGAAAACTGGTAAATTTCAAAACCAGGTTTCAAGCTATACTTCCTTAACCCAGCAAGATTACTATGATCGTATAAATGTCCAGGAAGAATCATTCTTTTCAAAAAAATTGGAGCCTCATGAGTAACTAGATCGATGGTTCCAGAAATAACCTTTCCCGGTTTAACCAATTCCATTTCGGACAACCTTATCGGTCTTGTTGTACTGCAGTTGATTCGACTTGCTGTAGGGATAGAACTGACCTCTCTGCACTTAACAACTTGCTCATCAAGATACCTTGAGTTTATTTCAGAGCTAGGATCTACTCCAAACTCAGACCGTGGACCCAAACCTTGCCCCCCATTGTAGATTCGAACAAAGCAACCCTGCTTTTCAATCTTCATCCCTCCCTGTGCGATTCCCCTAGCAATTTCAGCAGCCTTTCTGGCATCAATAGTGGTTTCCGAGCCAGCATAAACTGCTGCAGATTCTTTCTCTTCATCAGGTTTCCATTCTGAAAGTGGACTCCTGTCAACCAACACCTTACAATTTTCAAAGTAGCAACCTAACTGTTGGTTTGGAATTTCCAGAACCTCAACAACTTTATCCCCAGAACCTATACACGTCTCATGATCTGCATAGTTCTTCAGAATGTTCCCCTCATCTATTTTCTCAATTTCCTCATCAATTGACTTTAATTCGATATTCGTTATCGAATGTGTGGTCTCCAACAATCTAATTCCAGGATCAGTAATGTATATGGCTCTAGAAGAAGAAGAAATTTTCGCAGGGGAATGAACCTCTTGGGACAAAACTTGCGCAGCTGGCGACACGACTTGCGAAGAAGAAAATTCTTCTCTCGGTAGCGTCGCATTCTGACACGAGTGGATAGCCGATGGGAACGCCTGTGACGTGAAATGCGAACTGAGAGTGTGAGTTTGCGATTGTGAGCTGGTAATTGGGGTTCATGACTGCAATCTTGTTTCACTTGAAGAAGAAGTTTGCGAGTGTGATTGCGAAGACTTCTGCGAACGTATGAGGAATTCCGATGATGGACTGTAAGAACAAACAGTATTTCTTGGCGAAGATTCTTGCGAACTGTGCGACCTATGAGAAGTTGTACGCGAAGGGGCCGGTGAACTGCGGACATCTGTTCGCGGCTGAGAATAGCCCTGCGCAAGCGATGAGGTTTGCGAATTAAGGAAAACTGTTCGCGATCTTCTTCTTGCCTGTAAATGTTCTTCCATAGCAGCTAGCTTTCTCGCGAGGTTATCCAGCTTTAACTTCACCTCTTGCTGATTCCGCTCCAGCGAATCCATGCGCTGATCCATTTTACCTCTAACTCTAACCATCCACCTTCGAATGAAAAAAACATTCTGGATTCAGATACTTCTCCGATCAATCCTGAAGTCGCCAGGAGCTTATTTTGCGTATCCTTTCGCACAAACGCCTGGTATCTTCGCGAATTCTGGTAACAAGATCATTTGCTCTGATACCAATGATAGAGTAGCGCAGTAATACAAGAGATGAACAGTAAAGCTAGCTTCAGAAAACAATTGAACACTTTATTGATGGAAGAGAAACAATTACAGAAAGATGAAAGAGATTATGGCCGAAGCCCCCAATGAGCCGAAGCCCCCCAAAAGAAAGAGAAAGTTATCGATCTTCCCAGGTCCCAGATTAAAACGTCTAAACAGCCTACCTTCCCTGAACCCCGATCCCCGATCCCCGAACCCCGAACCACGAACCTCGAACCCGAAAACCGGAACCATGAACCCGGAACCCTTAACCCCGAACCTCGAACCCGAAACCCAGAACATGGAATCCGGAACCCAGAACGCGGAACCTGGAACTCCGAAACCCGAACCCCGAACCCCGAACCTCGAACCACGAACCCCGAACCCCGAACCCCGAACCCCAAACCCGGAACTCTGAACTCTGAACCCCGAACCCACCCGGAACCCGGAACCTGAACCCTGAACCCAGAACCCGGAACCCGGAACCCTGAACCCGAAACCCGGAACCTCGAACCTGGAACCCTGAACCAACCAGGAACCCTGAACCCTGAACCCTGAACCCTGAACCCCGAACCCCGAACCTCGAACCCCGAACCCCGAACCCGGAACCTGGAACCTTGAACCTTGAACCCGAAACCCTTAACCCGAAACCATGAACCCTGAACCCGGAACCCAGAACCCGGAACCTTGAACCCCGAACCCCAAACCTGTAACCCGAAACCCGGAACCGGAACCCTGAACCCTGAACCCGGAACCCGGAACCCTGAACCCGGAACCCGAAACCCAGAACCCGGAACCCAGAACCCCGAACCCGGAACCCAGAACCCGGAACACCGAAACCCTGAACCCGGAACCCGGAACCCTTAACCTGGAACCCTGAACCCAGAACCCTGAACTCCGAACCCTGAACCCTTGAACCCCGATCCCCGATCCCTGAACCCCGAACCCTGAACCACGAACCCGAAACCCGGAACCATGAACTCGGAACCTTTAACCCCGAACCTCGAACCCGAAACCCGGAACCCTGAACCTGGAATCCGGAACCCAGAACGCGGAACCTGGAACTCCGAACCTCGAACCACGAACCCCGAACCCCGAACCCTGAAACCAGAACTCTGAACTCTGAACCCCGAACCCACCCGGAACCCGGAACCCTGAACCCGAACCTAGAACCCTGGAACTCGGTATCCTGAATCTTGAACCCTGAACCCGGAACCCGGAATCTAGAACCCTGAAACCCAGAACCCAGAACCCTGAACCCTGAACCCTAAACCTAGAACCCTGAACTCGGAACCCTGAACCCCGAACCCGGAACCCTGAACCAGGAAACCTGAACCCTGAACCCGAAACCCTGAACCCCCAAACCCCGAACCCGGAACCCTGAACCCGGAACCCTGAACCTTGAACCCGGAACCCTGAACCCTGAATCCTGAACCTGGAACCCTTAACCCGGAACCCTGAACCCGGAACCCGGAACCCGGAAACGGAACCCTGAACCCGGAACCCTGAACCCTAAACCCGGAACCCGGAAACCGGAACCGGAACCCTGAACCCTGAACCCGGAACCCGGAACCCTGAACCCGGAACTCGGAACCTTGAACCTTGAACCCTGAACCCCGAACCCCCGAACCCCGAACACCGAACCCGGAACCCTGAACCCCTGAACCCCTGAACCCCGAACCCTGAACCCAGAACCTGGAACCCTGAACCTTGAACCCTGAACCCGAAACCCTGAACCCGAAACACAGAACCCTTAACCCGGAACCCTGAGCCCCGAACCCCGAACCCGGAACCCGGAACCGGAACCCTGAACCCGGAACCCTGAACCCTAAACCCGGAACCCGGAACCGGAACCCTGAACCCTAAACCCTGAACCCGGAACCTTGAACCCTGAACCCGAAACCCAGAACCCTGAACCCTGAACCCTGAACCCTGTACCTCGAACCTCGAACCCCGAACCCCGAACCCCCGAACCCCGAACCTCAAACCCAGAACCCTGAACCCGAACCCTGACCCTGAACCCTGAACCCCGAACCCCGATCCTCGAACCCGGAACCCGGAACCCTGAACCCAGAACCCGAAACTCAGAATCTAGAACCCTGGTACCCGAAACCCTGAACCCGGAACCCTGAACCCTGAATCCAAAACCCCGAACACCGAACCTCGAACCTCGAACCCGGAACCTTGAATCTCGAACCCGGAACCCCAAACCTCGAACCTCGAACCTCGAACACCGAACCTTGAACCCGGACCCCGGAACCCTGAACCCTAAACCCGGAACCCTGAACCAACCAGGAACCCTAAACCCGAAACCCTGAACACCGAACCCCGAACCTCGAACCCCGAACCCGGAACCTGGAACCTTGAACTTTGAACCCGGAACTCGAAACCCTTAACCCGAAACACTGAACCCGGAACCCGGAATCTAGAAAACCCTGGAACCTTGAACCCTGAACCCTAAACCCGGAACCCCGAACCCGGAACCCCGAACCCGGAACCCCGAACCCCCGAACCCCGAACCCCGAACCCAGA